GAAGCTGCGAAGGTATGGTTTTATAGACACATGATGAGAATACCCTCTAAAGATAAAACGAGTTATGAAGATGTCTGGAAAGACACTGACATACCAAGAGCACTGATTGCTCACATCAGAAAGAGGCAAACTACATTCTTTGGTCACGTGATGAGAAAGAGGAAACTGGAGCACATCGTAACAGTAGGGAAGAGAGACCGAGAAAAAAAATGCTTGACAGTCTGGCATCAAGGCATAGGGGATCAACTATATCGGAGTTGACTGAATCTACACGAAACAGACAGCTGTGGATAGAGATGACTACCAATGCCACACGGTATAGACTTTAAGAAGACGGCTTAAACTAAACATGCTCTACAAGACTGCTTTCAGCTGTGTAGCAGCACAATAAAATCTTACCAGAGACATAGAAATCATAAGTAGACCCAAACAGACATAGTCTATATGTGATGGACATGGTTAGTAAAGAGCTAAAAAAACAAAAGAGATCCACACAGAGAAACATACTCAGGACAGGAATCTCGAAAAATGGCAAACATTTGCGAAAGAGTGGGACATTACCCAGGTTATCAACGACTCTGCCTCAAACAGCTGTAGATTACCCAGGGGTGCTGCCAGCATATGCCAGGCGTGCCGTGGTAACAATCAGAAATTGTCAAAATCTGCTTGAGATCAAAAGACAGCATTTGAAAACAAAAATACCATAAAGGAGTTAATTCTTAATGTACGCTTACATTAAAAAAATAAAATAAAAATAAAATAAACAAAATAAATGCAGGAGCACTTTTCAAGTGAGTTTGAGGGTACATTTAACTAAACTTCATATAAACATAATTGAGAGGGTAACGGGTGCAGTCCCGGGAAGTAGATAGTTTACAGTCTTAGTAAATAAGATGTCAGAGGTCGTCCCGGTTATGGGACAGTTCAGTGTGATGATGATAAAACACTGTAGCTTGTAACACCTAACTCAACTTAGGGCATGTTTCAAACAGGCTGATACACGGAGAAATCTGTGTTAGCTGACCAGGGCTTGCTGAACGTAAGCGGACTTCACGTAGAGTCCACTTCACACAGACTTAGAGATTTACAAAGCTCTATTCACTGTCATACTATTTAATTTCTTGCAATTAAAAATGTTCACCTTTTCCCCAAACTTTTCTTTTCCGTGGCGCCTTTTTTAATTAAAGTTTTTCCTCGGCGCCCTAATCTAAGTAAAAATATAACTATTCGTATGTAAGAGATTAAAAAAAATTCGTGTATGTTCGAATATTTCGCAGCGCCCCTGTGAAAAGGTCGCGGCTCCCCGCGGCGCGAGGCGCACAGTTTGGGAATCACTGTTTTAAGGGTTTCCCATGCAGTGCAAGTTATGTGACTGATTCGCTGTCCGTGTTATGTCATGAGGTGTCCAGTATAACACAATATCTTTGTCTCATCACTGTTTCTACCAGTTTTAGCCCAGACATTTCTGTTTTTATTTTTTTTTTTAATTTATGACAAAAATATCACTTTTTCAATGTGTTCATTTTTGTAATGTTCGGCATTCGTAGAATAGATTACACACAAAATTTGTGTCATTGGTAAACAGTTTAGCATTGAAAAGTTAATACTAACAACACCAACCCATGCACTTTTTCAGATAAAAAAAGTTTAAAAGTCACTTTTCTAATAATTATATTTTTCTGTTTGTTGTGTGTGGGATCTCCTAAAATCTCAGCTAATATAAAGACTAGACATGTGAAATTTGGTGTGGACACTCCTAACACAATATTATAGGGTCAGGTTTATTTGAAATTACAGTTTATTGAGTCATTTTAAAAAAAGTGATTATTAAATTAAAAAGCTACATTTTTGTATTTTTTTAACATACCAAAATTTTAATATTCTAAAAAAAATATTTTAAAAAATCTTTAAAGTAAATAAACTAGACCTGACCCTAAACATATATTTAAAGTTTATGAATCAATCATCTGTTTCTCAATACCTTTGTTAGTTTCTGAGATTTTAGCTGTTTAAGTACATGTTGTTTTTTCATCAAGATGGCGGCTGTTGCCATGGCAAACATGTTTTTTTAAACTTGAAGTCTACAAATGTATCAACATACATCCCTACAAATGACTTTTATAAAAAAAAATTGGTCTAACATTGTAAGGAAAAAAAAATTTTTTTTTACTGTAATGACCCCTAACTTTCCTGGAGGGCATCCAGTTTTATGTTCAACATTTTACGCAAGCATTATACCACGTCAAACAGGCACACCGTCACGGTGCAATACTCATATATATGCACACATGAACACCACACACATAAACACACACACACATACAGACACACACATGCATACATACACACATACATATATACTCTATAAATAAACATTATAAATTATCATAACTAGAATCTCATACATACGGGTGCACACACTCATTTTTACACACGCATACTTGTCTAACCCGCATTTAAACACACCCGCGTGCGCACACACAGACGCATATTTTCAAAAATTCCTTTAATATACTCCCCTACATACACATAGACACAGAATCAGACTCACACATACACAGACGAACTCACAAAAGCTCATGTACATACATAGCATAACGACTATATTTTGGAAGGGTTAACAGGAAACAAATGTAAAATGTAATGGATGCCTTCTTGTGGAACCCACTGACATAATTCGTGAAGCTGAATTCACTTCTCATGGGGGTGTCAGATATAGTCTGTACCGAGCAAAAGTCCTGGGAAAAAGTATATCAGATAAAGACTGTACCGAGCAACAGTCCTGGGAAAAAGTATATCAGATAGAGACTGTACCAAGCAACAGTCCTGGGAAAAAGTATATCAGATAGAGACTGTACCGAGCAACAGTCCTGGGAAAAAGTATATCAGATAAAGACTGTACCGAGCAACAGTCCTGGGAAAAAGTATATCAGATAGAGACTGTACCGAGCAACAGTCCTGGGAAAAAGTATATCAGATAAAGACTGTACCGAGCAACAGTCCTGGGAAAAAGTATATCAGATAGAGACTGTACCGAGCAACAGTCCTGGGAAAAAGTATGTCAGATAGAGACTGTACCAAGCAACAGTCCTGGGAAAAAAGTATGTCAGATAGAGACTGCACCAAGCAACAGTCCTGGGAAAATGTATGTCAGATATAGACTGTACCTAGCAACAGTCCTGGAAAAATGTATGTCAGATAGAGACTGTACCTAGCAACAGTCCTGGGTAAAACTGCAATCTATGGCTTGATGATGACGCCACGAAGTTTAAAAAAAAAAGCAAAACTTTGTTGTAATCCCGCTGGTTGGTAACCGGTCAGTGATGTCAGAGCTCGGACAGAAATAGCTGGCGGTGATGAACAAGTCAACCATAACAGTGCAAGCATTAGCTTCGGTTTTCACATTGATTACTTGTTGGCATTTACACACAACACGATGGATCTCACACACCAGACGAGAGGTCTCACACACTGGACGATGGATCTCACACACTGGACGAGGGGTCTCACACACTGGACGATGGGTCTCACACACCAGGCGAGGGGTCTCACACACTGGACGAGGGGTCTCACACACTGGACGATGGATCTCACACACTGATCGAAGGGTCTCACACACTTAACTAGAGGTCTCACACACTGGACGAGGGGTCTCACACACTGGACGATGGGTCTCACACACCAGGCGAGGGGTCTCACACACTGGACGAGGGGTCTCACACACTGGACGATGGATCTCACACACTGATCGAAGGGTCTCACACACTTAACTAGAGGTCTCACACACTGGACGAGGGGTCTCACACACTGAACGAGGGGTCTCACACACTGGACGAGGGTTCTCACACACCGGACGAGGGTTCTCACACACCGGACGAGGGGTCTTACACACTGGACGAGGGGTCTCACACACTGGACGAGGGGTCTCACACTGGACGAGGGGTCTCACGCACCTGACGAGGGGTCTCACACACTGGACGAGGGGTCTCACACACTGGATGAGGGTTCTCACACACTGGACGAGGGGTCTCACACACTGGACGAGGGGTCTCACACACTGAACGAGGGTTCTCACACACTGGACGAGGGGTCTTACACACTGGATGAGGGGTCTCACACACTGGACGAGGGGTTTCACAAACTGGACGAGGGGTCTCACACACTGGACGAGGGGTCTCACACACTGGACGAGGGTTCTCACACACTGGACGAGGGGTCTCATACACTGGACGAGGGGTTTTACACACTATTTGAGGGGTCTCACACACCAGACGAGGGGTCTCACACACAGGACGATGGATCTCACACACTGAACAAGGGGTCTCACACACTAGACTAGACGGCTCACACACTGGACGAGGGGTTTCACACACCGGACGAATGGTCTAACACACTGGACGAGGGGTCTCACACACTGGACGAGGGGTCTCACACACCAGACGAGGAGTCTCACACACTGGACGAGGGGTCTCACACACCGGACTAGGGGTCTCACACACTGGACCGGGGGTCTCACACACTGGACGAGGGGTCTCACACACTGGACGAGGGGGCTCACACACTGGACGAGGGGTCTCACACACTGGACGAGGGGTCTCACAACACGGACAAGGGGTCTCACACCATAGACCAGGGGTCTCACATACTGGCCGACGGGTCTCACACACTGGACGAGGGGTCTCACACACTGGACGAGCGGTCTCACACACTGGACCAGGGATCTCACACACCTGACGAGGTGTCTCACACACTGGACGAGGGGTGTCACACACTGGACGAGGGGTCTCACACACTGGACGAGGGGTCTCACACACGAGGGGTCTCACACACCAGACGAGGGGTCTCACACACTGGACGAGAGTCTCACACACTGGACGAGGAGTCTCACACACTATATGAGGGGTCTCACACACTGGACGAGGGGTCTCACACACTGGACGAGGGGTCTCACACACTGAACGAGGATTCTCACACACTGGACGAGGGGTCTTACACTCTGGATGAGGGGTCTCACACACTGGACGAGGGGTGTCACAAACTGGACGAGGGGTCTCACACACTGGACGAGGTGTCACACACTGGACGAGGGGTCTCACACACTGGACGAAGGGTCTCACACACTGGACGAGGGGTTTCACACACTGGACGAGGGTTCTCACACACTGGACGAGGGGTCTCACACACTGGACGAGGGGTCTCACACACTGGACGAAGGGTCTCACACACTGGACGAGGGGTCTCACACACTAGACGAGGGTTCTCACACCATGGACGAGAGGTCTCACACCATAGACCAGGGGTCTCACATACTGGCCGACGGGTCTCACACATTGGACGAGGGGTCTCACACACCGGACGAGGGGTCCCACACACTGGACGAGGGGTCTCACACACCTGACGAGGGGTCTCACACACTGGACGAGGGGTCTCACACACTGGACGAGGGGTCTCACACACCGGACTAGGGGTCTCACACACTCGACCGTGGGACTCACACACTGGACGAGGGTTCTCACACACTGGACGAGGGGGCTCACACACTGGACGAGGGGTCTCACACACTGGACGAGGGGTCTCACACCATGGACGAGGGGTCTCACACCATAGACCAGGGGTCTCACATACTGGCCAACGGGTCTCACACACTGGACGAGGGGTCTCACACACTGGACGAGGGGTCTCACACACTGGACGAGGGGTCTCACACACTGGACGAGGGGTCTCACACACTGGACGAGGGGTCTCACACACTGGACGAGGGGTCTCATGTACTGGACGAGGGGTCTCACACACTGAACGAAGCGTCTCACACACTGGACTAGAAGTCTCACACACTGGACGAGGGGTCTCACACACTGGACTAGAAGTCTCACACACTGGACGAGGGGTCTCACACACTGGACGAGGGGTCTCACACACTGGACGAAGGTTCTCACACACTGGACGAGGGGTCTCACACACTGGACGAGGGGTCTCACGCACCTGACGAGGGGTCTCACACTCTGGACGAAGGGTCTCACACACCCGACGAGGCTTCATACACACCGGACGAGGGGTCTCACACACCCGACGAGGGTTCTTACACACCGGACGAGGGGTCTCACACACCCGACGAGGGTTCTTACACACTGGACGAGGGGTCTCACACACTGGACGAGAGGTCTCACACACTGGACGAGGGGTCTCACAGCTCTGGAGAAAAGTCTTAATTTTTGGGATAGTGTCTCACATTCTGGGAGATAGGTCGCACATATAAAAGGAGAGATATTTTATATAAAGAGACGGCCTCATACATAGGGAGGCACGCATACATAAGGAGAAGGATCTCACATCTTGAGAGAAAGGACTCATATATTGGATAAGGTGTCTGATATTGCAAGAAAGGTTTCACGCATAAGGAGACTAGTAACTTACATAATGAGACGCATCGCTTAGACTTACAGAGCTGTCGACGAGTCTCATTCATAGACACATGTCGAGTACAAAAAAGACAGGCGTCACTTTCAAAGACATGGATGTTGCATCAAAGAGATGAGTGTCATTCATTAAGAGATGACTGTCACATTAGAGAGATTAGTGTCATTCATTAAGAGATGACTGTCACATTAGAGAGATGAGTGTCATTCATTAAGAGATGACTGTCACATTAGAGAGATTAGTGTCATTCATTAAGAGATGACTGTCACATTAGATAGATTTGTGTCATTCATTAAGAGATGACTGTCACTTTAGAGAGATTAGCGTAATTCATTAAGAGATGACTGTCACATTAGAAAGATTAGTGTCATTCATTAAGAGATGACTGTCACATTAGAGAGATTAGTGTCATTCATTAAGAGATGACTGTCACATTAGAGAGATTAGTGTCATTCATCAAGAGATTACTGTCACATTAGAAAGATTAGTGTCATTCATTAAGAGATGACTGTCACATTAGAGAGATGAGTGTCATTCATTAAGAGATGGCTGTCACTCATAAAGACAGTGGTGTTATATGTAAAAAACGAGTCTCAGACATTTTGTTAGTGCCGCGGACATACAAAGAATTATGTCCCACATACAGACAAGGGTTTCATATATTTAGAGACGGCCTCATAAATTGGGAAAAGGATCTCATATATTATGTAACTGTCACATAAATTATTCAACAGATTACAGATATTATTTTGGACAATATGTTCCAGATAAGAGACATTATTTCGTTGAGATTCTTTTTTATTTGACATTTTTCACCTGTTCACAGACGAGGTTCACATTGGGCTTATACATTAGGAGACTGGTCTCATTTATTGAGAGACTGATCGCACATATTTGGAGACTGAGCTCACGCACTAGGAGACTGGATTCTAACGTTGGGAGATGGACTCACACATTAGGAGACTGGACTAACACATTAGGAGACTGGACTAACACATTAGTAGACTGGACTAACACATTAGGAGACTGGACTCACACATTAGTAGACTGGACTAACACATTAGGAGACTGGACTAACACATTAGGAGACTGGACTAACACATTAGGAGACTGGACTAACACATTAGTAGACTGGACTAACACATTAGGAGACTGGACTAACACATTAGTAGACTGGACTAACACATTAGGAGACTGGACTCACACATTAGTAGACTGGACTCAAACATTAGTAGACTGGACTCACACATTAGTAGACTGGACTCACACATTAGTAGACTGGACTCACAAAATGGGAGACTGGACTCTCACATTAGTGGACTGGACTCACACATTAGTAGACTGGACTCACAAACTGGGAGACTGGACTCACACATTAGTAGACTGGACTCACAAACTGGGAGACTGGACTCACACATTAGTAGACTGGTCCCACCCATTGGGAGACTGGACTCACACATTAGTAGACTGGACTCCCACATTAGGAGACTGGACTAACACATTAGTAGACTGGACTCACAAACTGGGAGACTGCACTCACACATTAGTAAACTGGTCTCTCACATTAGGAGACTGGACTCACACATTAGTAGACTGGACTCACAAACTGGGAGACTGGTCTCACACATTAGTAGATTTGTCTCACACATTAGAAGACTGGTCTCACACATTAGTAGACTGGTCTCACACATTAGTAGACTGGTCTCACACATTAGAAGACTGGTCTCACAAATTAGTAGACTGGACTCACACATTAGTAGACTGGACTTACACATTAGTGGTCTGGACTCACACATTAGTAGACTGGACTCACACATTAGTAGACTGGACTCACAAACTGGGAGACTGGTCTCACACATTAGTAGAATGGACTCACACATTAGTAGATTGGACTCACAAACTGGGATAACAGTCACACACTATGTGTAACCTGGAATCTGACCTATTTAAAGTCAACTATTGTTTATCAGTGGGACATGAAGTATACAGTTCTAAAATTCTAACACTTTCACCGGCTGCTGACATTTATTAACAGACTACGGCAGCCTCAGAATACAAATTCATAAGATCAAAGATAGTGAATAATACTGACAACAAAAAGAACACAAATATTAACAAACAGAGGGGAACATATTAACATACTGAGGGATGTGGAATGTGTCAAAAATTCTAACTGTCCAGTGTATGAATATGCCGCGTTGTTATATACTCTCAGATCTGCACATTGAACAAGATATAGTAGAATTGCGTCCTTGGAACAAAAGCTAAAGTCATATTTGATTTTGAAGACAAATAAAAGTAAAACAACAACAACAAAATACAGAGATTCTATATAGACCAGGTAATGGAAGAAACAGAGAGAAACTGATTTCTGGATTAAATTAAACTACTTGATCATCTTTAAAAATGCAAACTAAAATGGAGAGAAAATTTAAAGAAGCAGGAATACAGTTTTGAAGATTATGATAAGTAACTAAAGAACGCAAGAAGATTGTTTTTTTGTTTGTTTGTTTGATTTTGTTTTAAGGAAAATAAATTCATCTTATCTTGGAGAATGTGATTCGAAAATTATCAAAGAAGCCAAAACGGCTTTATTGTTCAATTAAAGAACGAAAGATACTGCCAATAATTAAAAATATCTACTGAGGTTCAGGTATGTAGGTGCATAGAAAAAAAACATTCAATGAAAGATGAATCACACAGGCAAACAACAAAATAGGCCAAACAAAGATTGCACATTTTTAAATTGAAGAAGATCCTACGCAATAAATCCCCGTCACTTGGAGTTAGAAAAATAATTATTTCACGTTGCAGGGGAAACAGTTTTATAATGTGGCTGTGAATCCTGAACAAGAGGAAAGCCAGTCGATAAAATCCCTTGTGGCTTCAGAGATTGATTTTACAGAAGAATTCTCAAGATTCCGAGGGCGGTCAAAATGCGTAATCGAGTGTTTTTGAAAGAGGATAAGGCAAAAAGGATAACACGATAATGCTAGAAACAACAGAGAGTGGCAGTCATCGTTATTAATCGCTCAGGGCAAAGAGAAATATGCTCACATCTAGGAACAACTCAATAAAATTTGTAAAAACTAGTTAGAGGGAGAACATGGGATTCTTGACAGCTCTTTATCGTGACATGGAAGAACTCAAGAAGCAGGACTGCCAACAAGACGTTTAATGATAATGATAATATAACAATACATGCAAGCAAATTAAGAAGAGTCTGGAGGCAAATGAGATGTGGTTCTTGAGAAGAATGCTGTGAATACTTTGGACTACTAGAATAACCAACAATGATTGCCTGGAAATGGATAATAAAAGTAGAAGATTATATACAACAATGAGAAGGACACACGGTACTTTGGTCATGTGATGAGGAAAAGATCACAACAAAATATCGTAAAGACTGGAGAGATCACTGGTAAAAGAGACAGAGGCAGACCAAGAGAGATGATGGTAAATGGGTTAGAACAGTGGCATGGAGAAATGTCATCAGTGGATTTGATCCAGAACACCAAAGATCGAGATTTGTGGAGATGCAAGGATGCCTGCGCCAGCTGGCAAGCCACTTGATGATAATGATGAACAATACATAGATGGTGGCAACAGTACGCGTAATGTCTCTGAAAGAGTGTATTAAACAGCATTGCAGAGAAGACAGCACAGAAACTGAATGGAATTACTCGGGAGGGTGGTATTTTTGAAACTGCATTCAAAGATAGATAGCATCATAGTGCTTACAAGGAAATAACGTAAGTATAAAAAAGGAAGTAACTTGCGAGGACCGAACGGCTATGCAGCCTTAACTGCTTCGTCTTGAATGATATTCAAAAATACCATGTAAAATACTTGACTAGTGTGGTGGAATCTATCAAGTAGATCAGGACTATTCAACTGGCGGCCTGTGGGCTAGATTTGGCCCCCAGAGACCTAACAAGAGGCCCACGGATTACTGCTTGTTTTATTCAGTCTTTCTATTCTGCGACTACTTCTGGCCCGTGACGATTCCTATTTTCCACATTTTGGCCCATGATTACACTTAGTTGAA